GGAGCGGGTCTGAGAGCAGGTCCCGAGGACCCACCGAGCCTGTGAAAGACCACACACGCGGTCAGCGCCCTGAGCTGCAGCCTCAGGAGACCCAGAGCCAGAGCCATCCGGCCAGACTGCTCCTCGGCTCCCGACTTTCAGAAGCTGTGTGACATAACGTATGTTTCTTGTTTTAGGGTGCTAAGTTTTAGAGTAATATGCCACATAGCAACAGATAACTAAAATGAAGGAGAAAACTAAGATATACACAAAGAACCAACAACCTTTTAGACGTGAAAAATACAGTATCTGAAATGAAAAATTCACGGGATGAGATTAAGCAGATTAGACACTGCAGACAAAAAGGTCAGTGAACTTAAAGACATAGCACCAGAGACTATCCAAACTAAAGCACAGAAAAAAGACACACACACACACACACACACACGGACAGAGCATCAATGACCAACGGGATAATGCCAAGTGATTTTAAACATGTGTAACAATATCTAAAGAAATGATAGCCCGAATTTTCCAAATTTGATTAATTATAAATCCATAAATCCAAGAAGCTCGATGAACCACAGCAGCCTAAGGGACAGACTGTGGACAAAGCACGCAGGGCAGGCTGCTGGCCTGCAGCCCCTCCGAATCCGCGTGGCCCCGAGAGCTGCCCACAGCCTGGGATCCTGGGGAGCTTCCAGGTCCTCGTCCTCAGCAACCGACCGGCTGCCTGCTTCACGCCTGCTGCCAGGGAAACCGCCTGTGGCCTGATCCCCTACCACCCCCACACCTCATCCGGGCTGCGGGGCTGAGGGAGGGGGCTGGTGTGGGGAAGGAAAGTGCAGACCATGGCAACGGGGCCGGAAGTGGAGCCCCGGGGAGCTCGCGGCACCTGTGGGCCAGGCTCTCCCTGGGAAGCAGAACCGGCCTCTGTGGAGGGTCTTTCTAACTGTGGGACCTCGCGCCCCAGTTTGCTGATCTATAAGGAGGGGAAGGGGAGCTGCCTCACTGCAGTTTGATTAGGATTATTTACCATGACATCAGCTGGTCCCTCCTGAAGCTCCCCGCAGACCTGAGCATCAAGCTTGAAAATGACCGTACCCGTGACCTAGGCATCGAGCCCAGTTAAACTAGTAATCTACTGGGATCTACTCTAAAGATAGAAACAGAGATGCAGAGAGAATATGTGTGAATGGGTGATCATCGCAATGCTATTTTACAGTGGTAAATAAACAAGTAAATAAAAACAGAGGAACTAGTTAACGTCCAGCCACAAGGACATACATTAAATAATGGCACAACCACGAGACAGCACATTATGCAACCATTAAACATCATCACTGTGAAGAACACTTAATTGTGTGTAAAATGCTCGTGATACAGTGTTAAGTGAATGAAGCAGGAAATAAAACTACAGATTACGGCCCCCACTTAGCAGGAGCACGTACACGAGCCCGGAAGCCCACGCCGAGGACACTGACGGGAACGGCGTGGTGTCACCGGTGCTGATGGTGTCGCCGACGGGACGATGAGGGCATTAAGGCTTATTCTGCGCATTCGGTAAACTCAGATAGGCTGTCTACGATTGCTTTTAGGATGAGGAAGCCACAGATCCCGCTCGCTTGCGTTCGGTCGTCAGGCAAGTGTGGCTGGTGGCTAGGAAGGTGACGGGCCCCAGGCTGGGTCAGAGTCCTTGGCCTCTGGCGCCAGCACTCGCCCCGGCTGCCGCCCTCCCATCCCCACTGGAAGGTTTGCGCTGCAGCTGTGGGGGCCACGGCCCTGCCCCGCTCCAGCCTTCCCACAGACCACGCTCCCTCCGGCATCCCTGGGGCTCAGCTTCCCAGCCTTGACCACGGGGCCTTTTCACAGCCCCTCCACCCCCCGCTGGAGTGAAGGAGTGAAGCCAACTCTTGCGCCTCCTCCGTCAGAGGCCCACTGGCTGCTGCGCGGAGCCGCTTCGCTTCACTTCCTTGGGACGGCGCTGTCACCTAGTCCAACCCCAGCGTCATCCTTCATTACTGCCAAGAAGCCATCGGCCTCTTGAGCGCCTCCAGTGCCTGGGAACACAGCACTCACTGCACCACGTCAGCCAGCTCTCTACCCATTTTCACCGATTTTCATCCCAAGGTTGGCAAGTCTTTCCGTATGCTGAGCCGAGGGCCGTGTCCTGGGTCCCCGCTGCTGTCTAGACCCATCTCCACGTCCTCCAAACCAGGCAGCCCCATCGCCACAGAAGGACCAGCACACTGGGAAGCCGCAGCTGTCTGGCGCCCTCCAGATAAACACAAGCCCTGGCCTGGTCCCTTCGCCCCCAGGGACACGTGTGTCCGCGCAGCGTGGCTGGGGGCCACGGCATCCTGCGTGGCTACTTGGACATCCTGAGTCTCTCTGCTTCCAGCACCTGCTCAGCCTGCCCCCCCCCCAACTGGCTGGAGAAATGAGAGAGGTTTTGAAGTCATGATGCATTCAAAGCAGCTTCATTGGAAATGCAGGGGACCCACAAAGTCAAATTCAAATTGAAGTGTCTGTCTGGATCCTGCTTTTACAGCAGAGGCTGGAGTGCTTGGCAGTTGGCTGCTGAGGGGAGCTTGCCTGGGGGGGGGGAGCTTGGCAAGAAGAAAGTGCCTCAGTCTGCCCCCTGGGCTCCCAGAGACGCCGTCAGACTTGCACGTTCTGGCAGAGTCACCCCTGGACACACAGGTCTGTCGCCATCCTCCCTCGGCTGGGCCTGGAGCTGACCACACAGCCCACAGGGACCGTGCAGAGCGGGTGCGAGGCTGGCTCGCTCGTGGCCCTGGCGGCCTGTGGTTCAGATCCACCGTTGAGTGGAAGTGAGGGGCTGCTGGTGGTTTTGTCCATTTATTGGTCTGCGGGGAACTAGAGGACTGCATCACAAATGACTCATTACTGATGCTTCCTCTAGAAGGAGCAACGTCTCTGAAGGCCTGTAGAGCTGAGTCTGGGGGAGCTGTCCAAGTCAACAGAAGTCCCCTTTCCCAGGAAGCACCCAGCACCTCACTGGTGGGCGGCCTGGAAGCCAAACCCTCACTTTGCGCCACAGCCTCAGCACCAGGCAGGGGGACAGCTCCCGGGCCTGGCTCCCCGACTGGGCAAGGCTCCTTGGGTACAAGGCCTCTGGCCAAGCAGGAGAGGACATGCTACCACTTGGTCACACGGGGGCCCTGAGACAAGCCTGAATGCCCTGACGGCCCGTATTTCTTCTGCTTCAAAAACAAAGCCAAGCCCCTTTCCCTGACGCTCAGCTCAGAAACAGACGCTGTAACTCTGAGTTCCAGGAGCGACCCGGAGGCCTGAACGCTCTGTGTGAGGTGCTGGAAAGTCGCCGCCCCTCCCAAACCTCTGCCTCCTGGTCCACAGGACGGAGGGGTGAGACCAGAGGACGTGCCCCAGCACCCTGGAGCTGATCACTCCACAGAAACCATGCTGGGCGGGAAGGTACCAAGGCTCGTGGCCTGACTGGACCTCCAGGCCCTGACAGGCTGGGCTCGGGCTGGGAGCCTCCTGGACACTCAGGATCCAAGGACGACGCACACACAAGCCGCGTGCCTGCGCTAAACCGTCTGCTCGTTCCTCACAACCACTTCCGGGGAGGTGAGGGCCAGGGCTCGGTGGCTTGGCCAACAAGACGCAGCGCTGGGATTTAACCCCAGGGTTGGCCTCACCCGGCTGGCCGGTCTCCACCTGGGGCGGGGCCAGGGGCCCCCAGGGGGAGGGCAAGGGACACAGCTCTCATCAGCTGCCCAGGCCTGTCCGCAGGGGCGAGGCCGAGGGCGAACGCCCACCCCCGCTGACCCACCCGCTGCACGTCAGCAGCTGTGCTCTGGAGCCCAAGCCCACACGTCAGTGCCACGACCCCGCCAGCACGCCAGCCCATGGCCAGGCCTGGGAGTCGCCCGCTGGACATTCCTTGGGTCCACGCTTGCGTCTCACATGCCTGCTTCCCAGCCCAATCACTTCATTCCAAAGTGTCACCAGATCCCAAAGCACAACAGAGAGTGGCCTGGTGTGGGCTGAGGCGGCCTTGAGGGTGGCCGACCAGCAGAGGAGGGAGCTACGAGTTGGATGTGGGATGACAGGGCTTTGGGCACTGGTGGCGACAGCAGACACACAGCGGCCCAGGGCCAGGCCGCCAAGCTGCTCCACATCCACAGGTCCTCACATGTGGACAAAACTGGCTGCCTGTGTGAGCCCGCCCGTCATGCCGCCTACTCCCAACTTTGGGTCATCTCAGCTTTAGGGTCAGGGGCTGCTGCGTGTGACGACAGCCCATTAACAGTCAGAAGACGCACGTGCACGGCAGTCAATTTCTCCCACCACCTAAACACCCTCAAACCGGGAACCTAACGCAAAGGTGATGGGGCGGAGGCCCACGGCGGGTTGGAGGGACAAGCCCCGCGCCGCCGAGCTCCGTGAGGGGCTGCCTCCTGCCTGCCCACGTCCCAGCCCGGGATGCCGGTCGGCCCTACCCAGGCACCACGAGGCCAGGGAGGCCACAGTGCCTATCTCAGGCCCTTTGTTCTCAGTTCACCCCCAGGCAGCCTGCGTCCTAACGGCTGTGCAGAAAAAGAAACACGGGACCAGGCGAAGGCCAGGTGTGCCCGGGCACCCTCAGCAGCTGTCGATGTCCCAAGGCCAGCGGGGCGGCGGGTGTCTTGGGGGTGGGTTCCGGGTCTGCATCTGACCAGGGCAGCTGTCCCTAGGGACGGCGGAGGCAGCCCCTTATTCAGGAAGCCCGTGAGCGGTGAGGGGTTCCTTCTAGGGCAGGGCTGGGCTGTCTAAGCCCCCAATTCCTCCCTCCTCCAGCCAGGAGCTGTTGCCATGGCAACCCGAAGGTACCAGCAAGACGAGGCTGCTGAGGACGCCCGGGCTGGGCCACGTGCACACCTGTCCCCACAGCCCGAGCGCCTCTCCTTGTCCAAATCCCTTCTCTTGCTCCAGGCCCCCCCACTCCAGAGGAGGGATGGCAGCAGAGGGTGCCCCGGGGGGCCCCATCCCCGTCAGCTGACCACTGGCATCGCCTCCATGAAGCACCCTCGCAGGCTGCCGTGTTGGCCCTCAGTCACCCTGGCTCTGCGAGCCGCAGGAGTTTGGTGTCCACCAGACAGGAGGGCCCGTGCAGGCCACGTGGGGCGGGGCCCGGAGGCGAGGGCGGCGGAGCAGTCTGCACTCTGCATGACGCCTGCGCCAGGGGGCAGGCGGGCGGAGCTGCGCGGCCTGTTCACCAGGCTGCTCTATAAGGAGAGGACGAGGCGGCAGGAAGGTCACGCCTACACCCCCAGGCAGCAAAGCAGAGCACCTCCTCGGGCGTCGCGCACCCAAGGCAGACCTGAGCCCGTCAACATGTCCCAGCAGGCTGTCAGGTCCCCCAGCAAAGGCCACACCACGTGAGGTGGGCAGGGCATGGGGCTCTGAGACAAGCAACGATGCCTGGGGAGGGGTGGCAGTGGGGACACGGGCTGCTGGCCACACACGGGGCCTCTGCCTGGCCTGTCTCCCGGACTGGATGGCCCTGGGTGGGAGCCTGCCCTCTCGCCTCTGAGCTGGCCAGGCGGGAGCCCGCTGTCAGGGGTCCCTGAGGGAGCAGGGCCTCGGGTCTGTGGTGGCGTTGCCCTGGCTGGGCCCCTCCTGTCTGCAGGCCAGACCCCCGGGGCTGCATGCAGGTGGAGCCCGCAGACCTTCCCAGGTGAGCTGGTTCCTGAAGGAGGTACAGGGATGCCTGTCTCCTAGTCTGCCCCGTCCGTCCGCCTGCCCTGGGAGAAAGCTCTGGGTGCCAGCGGGACTGGACTTCATGCTCGAGTGGGCGACGCCGGCTCCTCCCAGCTGCTCTTCTAACATCTGCACTTTGCACATCCTCAAACACCCACACAGGCTGCTCTTCTTGGGACAGGAGGGGACCCGGCGCCCCATCCCACACCCTACTTGCTCCCTGTGATTTGATTTCTCAGGAGCAGATGCCCATGGGGAACCCCAGAAATGTACTGACCTGGGAACGGCCAGACAGAGGCAGACCGCGAGTGTGTGCAATTGTGCATATGTCCGTGTGCGAGCATGGATGTGTGAGTGTGCACACGTGTACGCATGTGAGCACGTGAGTGTGTGTGGGACCAGTGGGAGCTCAGCCTTCCACCCCCCAGCATGGCGGACACTCCCCCACCCAGACAGCGGGAGCGAGGCCTGGCCGCCAGGTCCTGCGTCCTCCAGCGGAGCCTGCGGGCTGAGCCCAAGCCCTCAATTACCCCGTGTACGTCTGCAGAGCCCACTCAACCAGAACGGCCCTCAGCTATTTCTGACTCTGCTGTCAGCCCCCTTCCTGCCGAAAAATCATCTTTGGGAAAATAAAACAGGCTGCCATTCACTGTGATGCTGCCCCAGCCTGATGCCTGCCCCCTCGGGCAGGGCCGTGACGCTGCGTGAGCTGGTGGTCACCCCGTCTCCCCGTCTCCTGCTTGGGGCTGCCAGCGCACACCGAGACCCTTCCTGGTGGCCTGGTGAGCAGGACCTTTGGAGTCTAGCAGCCCAGGGTGAGCAGGACCCCAGAGAGCGTCTGCACCAAGCTCCTCGTGCCTGGCGGGGGCTGAGCCCCACGGAGAGTGGCCAGCCAGGGCGCACCCCTGGGCACAAGGAGGGGTGACGCGTGCCCTCTGGGCAGTGCTGGGACACGGGCCACCTTGCTTGGTCCCTGGGAAGCGGTGATTATCTGCAGGCAGCGGCAGCTACTCGGTCCCACAATCTGCCAGGTGCCCTCTATCTATTTTCCCTTTGGCTTTCCTCCCTCCGTCTGTCCGTCTGTCCCATAAATCCTCAGCGAGCACTCTGTGCATGCTAGGCCCGGAGTGAGCGGAGGGCAGCAGTCAGAGGTGGCATGCTCCCTTCACTGAGCTTAGTCTTCTCAGGAGCAGGAAACCGGCAAAGAACAGGTGGGTCTGCCGGCACTATTGGTTCCGGTCCCCCTGGTCAGACACTTCCTGCCAGAGGGCTCGAGAGCTCCAACTTCTCCTCTCGGCACCCAGCGAGCAGGAGGTTCTCCCAGCGGCTCCCTGGCCCCCGAGGGCCGGACAGCACTGGCCCGTGGGAGGAGCTCAGAGGTTCGATGCTTCCAGTGTCTGGGGGGCTGGCGGGGGCTCCGCTCACTCCCTGCGGTGCAGCGGCAGCTTTGGCAGCACCGAGGGCAGCTCCCTGGCCCACCACTGGCTTTCGCCCCATTACTTCAGCTCCCTGTGGGCACTGCCGACGCTGACACCCTCAACCTTCCTGCCCCCACCATCCCAGGGATGGGCCGACGCAGTCACAGGTGGGAGGTGTGACCACAGAGCCAGCTCAGAGTGGTCCTACCTACCCTGTTTCTAACAAGACAGCCGCTTTTCAGAGACAACAGCCCAAACCAAAGCCCTGTGGCTGATGCACGTGCAGGAGAGAGCAGACCTCTCTCGACCCCGGATACCCCAGGGCCGGACAGGATGGAGACTGTGACCCCGATCCCCCTCAAGAGCCAAGGGGCTGCTGTCCAGGAGGATTGGTGCTGAAGCTCCTCACCCGAAGGGCCCAGCTCCACGCTCCTCCCATGAAAGCCTGCCCGCCAGCACTTCCGCACCCGTCCCCCGAACTCCTTACAACCTGGCCCGGACCCAGGAGACAGATTTGAGTGGCATCTCCCATCTCCTCGGGGTTGACCCAAAAGCAACAAAGGCTCTTTTTTTCTCCCAAAAGCCAGTGTCACAGTCTTCAACCAGCACACACGGGCAGTGGGCAGACGCCAAGAGAGAAGGCAGAGCGGGGCCGAGGGTGGGCAGTCTCCCCGGCCCACAGTGAGGCCGCCCCGCCCCACGCCCCCGCCCCACGACCCGGCACCGGCCACGGGCAGGCAGGCCTACCTTGAAGATGAGGCAGTCGTCCTTGTGCTCGGCGTACATGGATGTCAGGCGGTACTGGCTCTCCCGGGTGATGTCCACCTGGTAGCCCGTGAGCGTGTAGCACACTTTCCGGAACTCCTGGACCTTGGTCTGGAAGACCTCCTTGAGCCGCTGGTTCTTCAGCTCTGCGCTCTCCACCTGCTTCCTCAGCTCTGCGGAGGAAGGCGGAGGTCAGCTCACAGGCCACGAGGGGCGCGGGGGCCAGGGGCGGAGGGCACTGACTGCGGGGCGAGCAGCCGGCCCCTGCCAACACGTCAGCGCGCCTCGACACGGGTACCTAGTCCCCGAGTGACCAGCAGCCTGGCCTTCTGGCGGGGACGGCGGCGAAGCTGTTCTATTCATAGTAACGCACGCACGCCCTGGTGACCAACAAACACTCCCTAGTCTGCAGCCCAGTCCTCGTGGCTGAGAAGCAGCGGGGGCGAAGGGGGCGTGAGAGCAGAGGTGATTTGGGTCATGTTGCCTTGGGGTCCCCTGCAGGTCACCCAGACATGAGGCCACAGACCCCTCAGGCTCCCTCGGTGGCAGGGTCTGGGCGGGCCCACCATCTCTCCTGTGCAGGTCGACCTGAGCAGCGCAGGGCAGAGGCCCCGGGCCACCTGCCACTCCCGCCACAGTTTACAGCTGCACCGGGAGAAGCCAGCTGTGCGAAGCCATCAGGAGGATATACAGCGATTACCACGGATCCTTCACCCAAGGTGCTTCCCAGTAATTAAACCTCGATTTATTCCCCATTAATTAGCAAGGCTGGCTCCACTTAAACACACATGCAGTGTCTTTGAAGCCAGGCGCTTCCCGGTGCTCCTGTCTGCAGAAGCACGAGGGGCCCCCTCCAGGGCCTCGGGGTTGCCCTGACGGGATGGGAGCCCAGCTGGCCAAGGGGGTTGTGGGAAAACCTCAGGCCTCTGGACCCCAGATTTGAGTCCTGCCCTCCCCGTGGCCTGTGAGCCCCAGAACCCCCACTGTGACAGGGACAACAGTCCTTCCTCCTCAGGCTGGGTCACAGGACCCGTGGTGTGGCTGCCCGCAGCCAGTCCAGGCCCGGGAACCACCAGCTCCTCGGCAGTTTAAGATGAGCAGTTAGTCAGGGTCACTCCTGGAAGAAGTGTGTGTGGGGGGGGCGGGACAGGACAGCCTGCATTCCAGGGAAAGGAAGCCGGTGGGAACCCTCCCTGCGCCCTCTGGCTACCGGGGCTTGTGGGGCACACAGCTGCCTTCAGGGGCTGTTGTGAGGATCCTGCCAGACCCTGGGGGGCAGGGAGTGCTGTGCGGGTTCCAGCTCCGCCTTCCGATGGCGGCGCTCAGCTGGCTGCACGGCTGCGAGGTGGGCAGGTGCAGAGTCTCTCCCGTTCTGCAAACAGGGGCACCGAGACTTTCCCCGTGGTCACACACACGGCACAACCTCACTGCCTCTCGTGCTCTGGAACGCGCCGGCTTCCGAGCACGCCCCTGAGGGTCTGTCTACACCGCCTGCCGCTCTGTGGGCAGCCTGTACCGGTCATGCTCTGGTTCTGAATGAGGAATCCTGACACCAGGGCACCACACCTGCCGGCCTCTCCATGGCGCACGGAGGGGCCGCACTTGGCGCCTGTCCACCTGGCCGTGCGCCCTGCCCTCATTCATCACTGGCCCCGATGCCCCTGGCGGACACTGCTATTCCCGAGCTGAGAGCCTCCCTACTGGGAAAGTGGCCGCGGAGCCCTTGATTAATCGTGGAATCAAGACTATGAAATCGAAAGTGTAATTGGCAGCTCTGACCCCGTGCCCGGCCCGGAACAGTGCGGCCAGCCCACCCAGGATGGATCTGTCAACCCTCCTCCAGCAGGAAAAATCCACCGACCATACTTCCGCAGCGATATTTCACCCTTGTCAAAGGCTGCATGGCCTTGAATGGATCTCGGGTGTCCAATGGGGAAAATTAAATTTTGGTAATAAATGCAGCCTGACCTTGGAGAAGGAAACAGCCCCGCTGCCCACAGATATCCAAGTGCTGCCTGTTCCACGGTGTGTGACCCTACTGGTAGCTGGGATCAGTGGGGAGCGGGAGCCTCGCCTCTTGGGGGAGACGTGTCATGCCCTGGGAGGGGTGGGTGCAGCCACACGCACTCTTGGGGAGCCAGGCACCAGGACCCTGGGGACAGTGCTCACCCTCACGCTACGACAAGGCCGGTCTCACGTCCCCTTTGACGGGTGAGAACATGGGGCTTGGAGGGGGGCAAGGTTCTCAAGGTCACACGGCCTGTCGGAGGTCAAGAGGGGTCTAACCCCATCTGCCTGGTCCAGGGGGGGCCTGAGGGCTGCAGCGTTCAGGCCAAGCCCACCTTGATGAAATGGGCTTGGTGGGGGATGCCATGAGCTATCGGTTTGATGTGGGGCACAGCAAGGTCAGTGTCCTGGCCCCGCCATCATTCTTGAGGTCCAATCGCTTACATAACCGTGAATGAACAATTCACACGGTAGTTTGGATTAAATAAGTAAAGATGGCCTTCCACCCTGGAATGGCGTTGCCGTGATGCGGCCTCGCCCAGAACATGCGAGGCTTCCTCGGGCCCAGAGGCCAAGGGCCAGTGATGAGCCCGCTACAGCCCCGCAGCCACTCCAGCGAGGCAGGCAGACAGGGCCAGCGGAGCACACAGATGGCCGTCAGTCTTCTGAGAGCTCTGCAGAGCGCCCCCGCCGCCACGAACCTCGTCCTGCTGTGTGCATGTCCCAGGCCGCTCGGGGTGAAGACCTTGCACATGCTCTGGGGAGTCCAGCCAAGGGGCCTCCATTCCCTCCCCTCCAGAACCCGCAGCCCTGGGATCAGGTCCACCCTCCGTGCGCCCTGGCTGAGGCCCAGACGCACCCTCGCCCTCTCCTGTCTTTCCTGTTCTTTGGATTCTGCCGTCCAGCTGCACTGGTCAGGGACACTGCCTGGAGCCACCGCCTTTCCTGTCTGTGTCCAAGTCCGACCGTCTCACCTGTCCCTCGAGACCCCCGGGCCCCCCCCCGTCCCCTCCGCAGCCCTCTGTGTGGTCTTGTAAGTCCTTCATGAGGGGACAAGGGACAGAGAGAGAGGAGAGGATGAGATGGCGGGAGAGCAGGCAGAGGCTGTGCAGGCCGGGGACGGGCGTGGAGGCCGGGGGGCAGCGAGCCCAGGGCTCCCGAGCAGCACCGGCCACTCTGACCGGACATGCGGCCTGGGCCAGGCCCCCGCTGCTCCAGCCTCGGCCAAGGACCGCCACCCCTCCTCCACCACTGGCCTCAACGCCGGGCCCCGCCCAGAGTTGCAGAGGCAGCTGTGAGAGCTGCAGGGCTGGACGCAGAACAAAACAAACCACACTCTGTTACACAGAGGCCGGCAAAGAGGAGGGCGACTCCCTCCGAAGGGAGCGGCGTCAGGGTCACGTTTCTGCAGGTCCAGTTCACAGCCTGAAACCTGGAGAACGGCTTTATCGTAGAGGGCAGGTGAGAGGCAGACGGACGGAGGGTTGGGGGACACAGGGACGCAGAGACAGCACCAGACAGGCCCAGCCTGGTCTCTGCAGGGCTCCAGCACGCGGTCTCACTGGACAGCAGAGCCCAACTGTGCCTCTGTTTTACTAAAAGTGCGCACATCACAGTCATTCAATTTCCCTCTTATCAGTCTGCAGGCAAAAGGGCCGGGGCGGGGGCACTGGCCTCTGTTCCACGCTCTCACACTCAGTCCCAGGGGCGCCAGCATCGCAGCAGCACCTTGGGCTCTCAGACGGGCGGGAGGCGACCCACACTGGGGTCCAGGCCTTGCAGAAGGGGAGAAAACACCCAGCATTTCCCTCTAAACTCCGTTCACTTCTCAGTGTTCAGGCGCACAAGCACATAAGCTAGTGGCAAAAACGCTTTTAAAGATGCAGATGGCTCTTAGGAAGGCAGCCCCTGCGGCCAATTGTCCACATCCCTTCTTTCCTGTGGGCCTAAGCTGTGCCCACACCCAAGCCAGGCCAGATGGCACTGGACCATGGTCAGCTGGGCTGTGGGTGAAGGGCCTGGGTCTGGCCCTGCCCGGATGCCCTGCTGACAGTGGCCAGCCCTGTCCCGTGGCTACATTCTGGGTGACACCACCCACTCTGAGCGCTCGGCCTCTGTGTGCGTCCCAGGATACCACAAGGTGCGCTGGCCTGGCCCACGTCTGAGTCCGGGAGGACGGTGACAGCACAGCAGGTGCCATAGGTGCTCAGCCACCCTGTGGGGAAGCCAGCCCTTCATCTGGAAGCAGCCGGCATAGGAGCGGTCACGCCCCAGGGTGGGGAGTCGGCCCAGGACGCAGGGTGGCTGACTCCAAGGCTGCACCACGAAAGCTCTGAGCCGCCTTGGCCCAGGGCGGCCTTGGGGGCAGGACCAGGGCCTCTGTCCTCTGCACTCGCACGCCCTTGCCAGTGCTCACATGTTCCAGCTGAGATCACGTCTCTGGTGTCGTGTCGGACGTTCTCAGTGTAGACCATGTCTTTCTTCATAGCATCTTCATAGCATTTATCGTAACAGAATAGAGTATTAAAAAAATTCTGCATTAATGCTTATTTCTTCCAGGGGACTGTGAGCTCAGCAGAGGCGGAGACCAAGTCTTTTTGTCATTATTGTGTCCCCAGTGCAATGCAAGAAGCCTGGAGCATGGAAAGCACTACTGCCATTTCTCCACAAGCCCTAAATCACAAACCCCAGTTTAATCAAAAGTAAAGCACGCGGGACCTCCCCTGAGACGCGACTGACGGAACACGCACGTCTCTCCCTCTCCCTCCAGCGATCACAGTGGGGGGAGGGGCAGTGGCCGCCGGGGATGGACAAAGTCTCAGGCGATGAGAAGCAGACGGACGGGAGGAAGGGACTCGGCAGTGCCGGAAAGCAGGGCGTGCACTGTCTCTGGCCGGTGGGGACGCCAGTGGGCCACAGACGGCGGCTGTGACGAGGACCCCAAGGAACAGTATGGGGGGAATCTCAGATGGTTTCTGAGGGTCTGTAAAAGGGGCCCCTCTGGTGACAGCCCTGGCCTCCTGGAGAGGCGATGCACCTTCTGGTACAGGACGAGGAGCAGGCTAAGGGCCGTCCCCAGCATCTGAGGGCCAGACCGGCACCCACAGGGGAACGGGAACCATAGAGGTATGGGGGATGGGGTGCAGGAGGACAAGGAAGACGATGG